TCATGAACAGAAATGAAGAAAATATTCTCTCTGCATTGATGAGAAACAGCGGTTAAAGCTAAACAGTTAACCGCTTAAATGAAATGTTTAACGGGTTAATTGTGACCTGGTGGAGCGGGCTGCCTGGCCTGGGTCCTGCTTGTCCCCGCTGGGGCTGTGGGGCTGGAGTTACCTCTGCCGCAGCGAGCTGGGGTACCACCTGCCCCTACCTGGGCCATGGGGCTGGGACCTGGGCCATGGGGCTGCTGTATGGCTGACCCAGGGCCCCACCACCCGGCCCAAAGTTAACCTAAGGCTTACTGGGTAACCGGTTAATTGCTTACATTCCTACTCGGCACCTGCAGGAGACGTTACTGCTGTCCAAAGCTGGTTTAACGCTTCAGCAAACTCTGGTTCCAGGTGCTAAAGCTTTGACTTCTATAAGCTCAGTGGTTTGGCTTTAAAATACCAGCAGTAACATGCATTACTGGAAGATTATTTTCTGTTCATGTAAATGACTCTACTAAATGATAGCGCCGTTAGATTTTAGGCTCTCATAATTCCACAGTGGATTTTAAATAGGGTTTATTTTACAAAGAAAACGTATGTAGTTAATTTTGTATCTACATTTTAAATTTAAATCCAGCGATGATTCTTTTTTCTGTTCTGCAGGACGGTGTGCAAAGCTCTCCAGCAGGTTTTTGGAATGTTTTCATACTTAGCCCGTTTATTCGGCACGGCTCAGGTCCTTCTGGAGGAGCTCAGGGCAGGGGGCTGAGGAAGGAGGGGGCAGGAGTCAGAGTTGGGGGGTGAGGAGGGGTTCTGCTTTGGGACCTGTGTGTGTGTTGGGAGGTGGGCGGGGTTTGGGGGGGCTCGTCCCCTTTCTGTCCCTGTCAGGGAGCAAGAACAAAGTGCACAGCTCGTCTGGCCCCTGCGCTCCCCAGCCGGCGTGGGGAATGCAGCAAACCGGGCACTTTCTCCTCACTCCCGTATGAAAGGGAGCTGCCAGCAACATCCCTATATGAACCTGGGGGGTGGGAAGCTCTGGGCTGGGGCAGTCCCAGATCAGAGGGTGGGGGGGCTTCCCCAGCCAGCCCCTTTCACCTGCCTGGTGAGTCTGTCTCCTTTCTGTGTGGTTTGATGAGAAGCGATCCCATTCCAGGCTCGTCCCATTGGCCTGGCACAACCAGCCCTTTACGTTGCCCTGCGTTCTCAGGGGAAGCTGCCTAGCGAATGGGTGGCCTCGTTCAGGAGGAGTTCTTGAGCAGACAGACACACGCTCTCCATTTGATAGCAGAACGAGCCAACCCGCTGGAACCGGTTCCCTTTCCTCTCTCCCCGTCTGAGCGCTGTTGGTCGACGCGCTCTCGGGGGGAGAACTTAGCTACCGTTCTGCTCGCAAGTCGCCCGGCGTTTCCGACATCGAAGGAAAATAAAATGAAAACACGGAGGGCATCCTTAACCCTTCCCTTCCCGTGCTAGTCAGCAAATCACCTGTTCAGGAGCACGTGGACCTCCGTGGACAAAGCGCGTCGCGTGCTTCCATGCCCCTGCCCCGTCGGCGCCGCGTCGGAGCACAACACACAGGGCGAGACAGAAGTGCCGTTCCCCCCGTTTACAGCCGGGGAGGCGAGGCTGGGGTGCGACCCTCCAGAGCCCGCTGCTCTCTAGCTGTGTGCCTGGACCCGCTGCTGTGCAGTAGAGGTTCCCTGCAGAGTCCGGCAGGTCTGTGGCTGCCCGTTCCATCGCCGTGGAGGTGGACACACATTTTCTATCTAGAACAGGGATGTGAATGGTTCACTGGTAAGCCTCACCCTTAATGGCAGGGGCTGGAGCAGCACCCCTCCCGGCCCACCCCCCTATTGAATCGGTTAACCCGGTCAACATCATGTTTAACCAGTTCACCTGTTAAATGGGATTTGACCCTCGTCACCTAGCGCCCTGCAAATGTAGGGCTATCCCCTTTGTATCCGCCTCTGCGGGTGTGGCTACCCGCAGGGCGCTTTTGCAGACGCGGATGCCAATTTTGTACCCGCGCGGGGCTCTACCCCTGACATGCTTTGGTCTTTGTCCATTTCAAAAGGCAGTCGAAAGAACAGTCAGAAACGTGTAGCATGTGGGCAGCCGCGTGGCTTGGCTCCCCAGCTTACGGAGCACTTGCTGCCCATCTAGTGCCTTAAGTGACTTGCCCAAGGTCAGACAGGAAGTCTGTAGCAGAGCAAGTTGTTGGCTAGTGCCATAACCAATGAAGCATACTTCCTTGTGTTGGAACACGCCGTGCCATCCTATCCAAGCCTAAATTTAAGCAAAAATATTAAGGGGAGGGGAACACCCCCCACCCCCTCCCGTTCGTAAACATATGACTCTACGTAACAATCTATGCAACAGCAGGCTCGGCTGCTCTGCTCCCTTCTGAGACCTAAACGTCAGGAAACGCACTGAGCCCCTGCATGCGGGGCTCCCCTCAGCTGTTTGGAGCAGCTGTTGTGACGGGTACGGCGTCCAAGTGAGAGGCAGGGAAGTAAATTTGGCTCTGAAATAAAAAGATTCTTTTCTATTTTGGGAACTTGACGTTGGGAGGAGCCAAGATGTGACCGGAGAAGGGGCCTGTCCTCACACTGAATGTGGGATTTTAAATTAAAAATTTTTTTTTTCTCTTCTACACAAATTCTTATGGTGCAATTGTGCTCCTGGGATCAGCCGGGGGTGGATGAAATTTTAGTTTTCTGTAGAGAGGGGCTCCGGCCGGAGGGCTGGGAACTGAGGTCTGGAATCCCAGCAACACAAGCTTTGAGGGATGAGGAGCAGTAGGTTTCATCTGGGGCCTGTCCCTCATGTCTTTTTAAGATTTTCTATAACATGTCTATTGATGGATCCTTTTTCTGCAAATTATACCTTGGATTTTTAAAAAAGCGTTTAACTGAAAACCAGGATTTCAGCGGGAATAGTCTGAAAATGCAGAAGTGTTCAATAAGTATTTCTCTTCCCTCTTTGCATCATGCGACTTTTTCCACATTTATAGCCTGGGGATGATGAAATACTTTCCACCAATAACTCCGGAGGTGGTTAAAGAGCAATTGCTAAAGTCAGACATCTTTCAATCAGCCAGTTCGGGTAAGCTGATGCAAAGTACTTTAAAAGAATTGGCTGAGGCACTTTCTAGACTATTAGTTGATTTTTCAATAAGTCTTAGAACCATGGGACTTTCCAGAGGACTTGGAGAGAGAGAATATTGTGCTACTTGTTAAAAATAGTAATGGGATGACATGGGTAATTTTAGCCCTTTCAGCTTGACAGTTATTTTAGGAAAAATGATGGACTGGATGATACTGGAATTAATTAATAAAGAATGAATGGAGAGAAATATGTTGATTGGCATTAACTTATAGGTTTATGGAAAACAGACCTTGTCAGACCCACATAATGTGTCTAGACTGCAGTTATATCAGAAAAAAGATACGCAAATTGCAAACAGCAATTTGTGTATCTTTTTCCACTTTTTTTTTTCGGAAAAAACTCCTCTTTCGGAACCTCTTTTATTCCTCTCATGGGGAGGAAGACAGGGATGCTGAAAGAACACACGTGCTTTTTGGGAAACTGTTCCAAAAAAAGGACGCATTACTTGGACGCAACGGAGCTTTTATCCCAGAAAAATTCTGCAGTTTATACATAGCCAGAGACCAGATTACAAGTTTGCTTGATAAAGTAGTAGTGTTAGTATAATAAACTATGGGAAGGCATTACACTTGATCCATAACATCAGAACGGCCGTATGGGGTCAGACCAAAGGTCCATATAGCCCAGTGTCCTGTCTGCCAACAGGGGCCAATGCCAGATGCCCAGGAGGGAATGAACAGAACAGGGAATCATCATGTGATCCTTCCCCTATCACCCATTTCCAGCCTCTGACAAACAGAGGCTAGGGACACCATTCCTACTCATCCATTATGTAGATCTAACCATTATGTAGTTCTTTTTTTGAACCCTGTTGAAGTCCTTGTCTTCACAACATCCTTTGGCAAGGAGTTCCACAGGTTGACTGTGCGCTGTGTGAAGAAAAACTTACATTGGTTTGTTTTAAACTTGCTACCTATTAATGGTACTGTGTGACATTTTGATTCCAAAACCGGGATGATACGAAATTAACATGGCACCCATTGAAGGCGTTTTAAAAACTCTCTAACTGATAGGTTTCAACATTTCATTGTACCTGTGGAATTATCGTCAAATGGTTGTGAGAAAGGTCTGACTAGATCAAACGATTGGAAAGTGAAGCTCGACAAATTTAGACCAGGAATAAGACAGACATTTCTGGCAGTGAGTGTAATTAACCATTGGCACGGTTACCAAGATCCTCCCTCAGGAGAAATTTTTAAAGCAAGACCAGCCATTTCCCAAAAAGATCTAGGAATTCATTCAGGGGAGCACATGGGCTGCGTGAGGGAAGCGGTCAGAAGAGATGATCAAGTGTGGTCCCCTGGCCTTATAATCTACGAGCCTAAAATTGCAAAAGCATCGTCTGGTGCTCTTGTAAGCCACACACTTGACTCTGCCAGCTGGTGGCGGCAAGGCTGCTTACAGAGAGAATAACAAGTGTGCTCTACAGCTTCGCTAAGAACCAGCTGGGTTTTAGCCCGTGGTAGAGGCTCATGTTCTAAACTCCAGAGGTCGCAGGTTTGATTCCGCCTGCAGGTGACCGGGGTCTATCACAGATACTTTATGACTGGGACAGAAATGTCATAAAGAAACCCCTGCCCGCCCCCAGCACTGCTGTCCTGGTGGATGTTCTTGCCTGGTCTTGGCCTGGGACTTTCACCTCTCTACCGCACGGGGTCTCGGCCTGCCAAACGGGACTAAGTGAAGCTGCCTCCCTCACCAAAGACGATGTGGGTCTTGATGAACTGATGCTCATCGAGTGCTTTGGGGGCAAAACCCTGTTGCTGAGCGTTACTCAGCATGGCAGGGAAATCCTCACTTCAGGCAACAACCGGAACTTGAAATGGATTTTCTTCCTCTTTCAGGAGCCGCAAAATTCAGATCAGAAATATCCCGCCCCAGCTACGATGGGAGGTAGGTGAAACAGCCGGGCAGCAGTGCCCCTGACCGATGACCGACAAACACCTAGTCTTTAGAGCCCTGCAGGTCTGCCTTCGAGTTATGGATCACGGGTGGGTGCTGTAATGGAGAGGCGGGAGTGCGTTTGCCTGCACTGTTGCTTTGAAAACCTTTTGGGCTACCCAGCCCTCTGGCCGCGTCACACTCCCGTGTGCCAAAAACTGCCCTCAGCTAGAGTCCCCAAGTCTGCTCCTTATGCAGAGAGGACTTCCCCTTCTGGAGACAACTTCCTCAGCCAGCCTCACCATCTGCTCTCCTTGAGTTCTGCCCTGCGCTGACGGCTGCTCTGGTTTGCAGCTCCCTTTGTAGGCCTTCCTGGCCCCTGATTGGCCAGTTCCTTTGCAGCCACTCTTGCCTGGTTGGAGGACCTCTCTATGGTTTCTCTGTCCCACTCTGGGGTAGGGTGTGGCCGGACCACCACATCACTGATGCAGATCCAAATTTTGTATCTACAGCCCTGCAGATATGCAGGTATCCGTGGACCGTGTTTGCAGATTGGATGTGGACACAAAATGTGTGGGCCCCGTTGATCTTGTTTTCGCTAGACTTTTGTATCTCCTGTTCCTTGGGTGGGAGTGAGTCTGATCTCTAGGGTGAGGAACAAACGTTTGCGCCCTGAGACAAAACATGGGGAGTAGCCTTTCTAAACGTGTTAAACTCCTCCCGTCAGCAACCCATCCACTCAAGGTACAAACTTCTCTGGAAGAGTGATCCAAATTGTGCTTGGATCCCCTTGGCTATGGCTTCTTCCCTCTCCACGACGTCCCCAAATCCTGTTTCCCCTGATCAAAGTGTGGGCTGCCTTCGATGCATACGGCTCACTTCACCATATCTGTTGGTCTCACGGTCAATGTTCCCTCTCTTTTTTTTCCATCTGTGGGCAGAATAAATTTTGTTCTGTGCACTGAGGCATGTGCAGATGTGCACCACCAATAGACACACATGCTGCCGGCAGTGAGCACACTGCTAATCAGCTGGGCGGCGTTTAAAGCACTGCGGGGTGACTGCCTACGCACTTAGCTTGCAGGCCGCCGTTCCTAATGGAAGGTGTCTCAGGTTGGGCAGCAAGAGATGGAGGCACCCAAAATCACTGGCCACGGTTGGCCATGGTGGCTCTTGTACTATGAGCTGGGTGAGCGAGTGGACGCCCCCCC